AAACTCCCCATTGCTCAGCTGCCAAAGTCACCAAAACCTGAGCATGTTCAAACAACCAGAGGAATATTGTATGAAGATATCTAATGATAAGAAACAGTGAGACTGGGGTGTAGCTCACTGGTACAGTGCTTTCCTAGCATGTACAAGGTGCTGGATTCCATCCCCAGAAACAGTGCAGAAGACAAAAACCAAAAGCCAAAAAGCCAGGGAAATTACGTGCATAAAACTTTCGGCACTTCTCAGTTGTACACAGGGTCTAACAGTGATACAATCCGTTCAGTTACTTGGAGGGGCCTCACCCATGGATTCACCAGAAGGAAGGTCCTGGCAAATGGAGTGGCATGTACAAACTCTGCTGCCCAACAAGGTAGCTGCTAGCCACAGAGGGGTGTACTGCTCAGCAGCCATGTGGGGCCAGCAGCTGCTACGCTCGAGAGAGTGACATGGAGGGTGGCATTTCTATCAGCACAGAGGTTCTACTGGACAGTGCTGCCAGAGTGAAAGAATATTAAGTCACCTGAGTATACTATTGGTAAACATTTTGGTCAACTATCTTTGTAAACATCAGCTCATAGTCTGAAGAACCATTAATGACCGGACAGTATTTTTTGAAGATGTGTGAGGTAATCTCTTCTAAAGATCTATGCTACAACAATACAGAATGCTGGGAAAATCCTTGTGCAGAACTAGATGTCACTTCTTCGAAGCATTCTAACGTCTCCCCACTCATTCCGATGGTGGGATGTCTTCAGTTCCAGGGCAAAGTGGGAGTTTGGGAAGACGGTCAGTGTCTTAGCCTGTTTTGTACTGCTGTAACAGAGAACCTGAACCACAGTTCTGGAGGCCGGAAAGTGCAAGACTGATGGGCACCGTCTGGGGAGGACCTCCTTGCCGAGGCGCTCTGCCTGGCAGGCAGGAGGGCAAGAGGGGCTGGCAGAGACAGCAAAGGAGCCTGAATCCACTGTTTTTTCAGGAACCGCTCCTGGCATAACTAATCCATTCCCACAATATTGTCGTTGTTCATTCCAGGAGCACTCTGCCCTTATGACTTAATTATCTCTTAAAAGTTCTACCTCTCAACACTGTTGCCCTGGGGGTGAAGTTCCCAATATGTGGATTTGGGGGGCACGTTTACACCATTACACTACTTTTTGTCTTTTTGAGATGGTTCACTTACTTCAAGAATCACTGTTCCTTGGTTTTAAAAATAAATGCATATATACTGAGAACAGCAAAAAAAACCCCAAAAAACCCTTTTATATTGTGAGTGAAACTGTAGTAACAACTTTGAAAGAGGTGAAAGAGGCATCTAAGTTCTTTCTCTGAAACCAGCAAAGAAAGTCAAAGAAGGCTGGGGATGTATCTCAGTGGTGAAGCATGTGTGTAGCATATATAAATCCTTGGTTCAGTCCCCAGTGTATGAGCACGTGTGCCTGCATGTACACACACACACACACACACACACACACACACACACACGTCAGAGATTGCCCCAGACTTTGATCTGAATTGTGTTTCCTTGAGCAAAATTACACACTTCTTGACTTAGCTTCAGCTTCTGATTTGGGTAGATTTCAATTTCAAGATCTCTTATCACCCGTTCTCTTTCTCATCTTCCTATAACCCCCAGAATCCTAAATGTAGACAAAGATAACAGCCATAAATGCCATCTTCTCTGAGCAAATGCAGAAATCGCTTGGAAAGACATCCCAGTATTTATGAGTGGTTATAAAAGACTAGTTTTCTGACAAAGCCATCATCTGTCTGTGCATAGTTATATTCAAGCACATCAATTTCCATAGCCAGTATGTGCGTCCCAGCTTCCGTCATGTATGGTTGTACTCTGCACAAGGAGGACACCCTAAGGATTATAGGATTTGGTATTTACAATAATAATAAAAACAATTTTCCAGAAGGTGGCAGTAAAGTATCCTTTTTTTAAAAAAAGATCAAAACATTATGACAATTTTCCACAGATTGGGATTATGGTGTTTTAATGGGGAAGTATCATTCAGTGATTTACACAGAAGCATGGTATGGGCTGTCACTGGGTTAAGGCCCATATAAAATCAAACCATGGAAATATATATATATAGTACTGAAACTCTGGCTTCCAAAATGCCAGAATTTTAATTAATCTTTGTTAATGTTATAATAATATACTCTGGGTTATATAGTCTCTTAGTCGGTTCAGGCTGGCTGACTTGTAAGTAACAGATGCTTCTCACAGTCTCAAAGGCTGGAAGTTCAAGGTCAAGGACTGGCAGTGTCTGGTGAGGGCGGGTTCCTGATCCATAGACAGCCATCTTCTTCCAGTGTCTCCTCACATGGCAGGAGGGGCGAGGGATCTTTCCTGGGCCTCCTTAATGAGGGCATGATTCCCATTCAAGAGGTCCCTGCTGGCCTTTAAACCACATTCCAGAATAATATCACTATAATATCGTTCTGTATTCCTCTCTCAATGTGCTGTGAGGGTGTTTGCTCCTCGACTTCATGCCTAGAGGCAAAGAAGCCCTCAGAGGGTTAAAGTTTAGCAGTAGAAGGACTAGTGTCTGACTCCTGCCCAGGAAAGCTAAAGAGCAGGAGGACTGCAGGGCTGAACAACTGCTTGGTCAGCAAAGCCAGCAGATTGCTGTTATGTTGGCGTTGGCCAAACTCAGAGTTTGTTTCTTATGGGCACAGATGTGGACCACTTTAGAGACCGTTGTGGTGATCTGATACCAAAACAAGAGGGTCAGCCAGGCCAGCAAGACTTCCACAAGGACAGGCTTGTTTTTTTGTTTTTTTCCAGGACTGGGGATTGAACCAAGGGGCACTCTGAGCTACATGCCCAACCCTTTTATTTTTTGTCTTAAGAGAAGGTCTTGCTAAATTGCCCCGAATGGGCTCAAATTTGTGAGCCTCTGGTTGCAGCCTCAAAGGGTGCTGAGACTGTACATACACTCTGCTATGCCTGCCTTTTTAAGTAGAACTTTTATCATTATGAGAAACACTCATAAAGCTTGAAATTCTTATAATAACATACCTCATGTCTAAATTTTATCTGATATAAACTACTTTTTTCTAATCACTTAAAAATACTATAATGCATTAAAATGGTATAATATTTTGCTAATACAATCTTTTTGTTCCTAGCATTCTTTTTTTTGAGGGGGGTGTTCCAGGAATTGAATTTAGGACTGCACACTGGCCAGGCAGTTCCCAACACTCTTAAGGCAACTATTGTTTCTAAAATAGTTTCATTTTTCGTGTTCAAACTGAGCCCTGAAAATCAAGTTTTTGTCCATTATTTCGAATTTCATTTGATCTTGTTTTGCATGTAATCTTGCTGTTTTTCTGCTTCTCATATTTCTGTTCTATATTGTACTTTTAGGTTTCTTGGTTTGATTTTTTTTTTTTTTTTTCATCTTTTTTTGAGACAGGGTCTAACTGTGAGGTTCAGGTCAGCTGTGAGCTCACTTTATAGCCCAGGCTAGTCTGGAACTGGCAATGATCCTCCTGCCTCAGCCTCCTGAGTGCTGGGATTACAGGCATGCACCACCACGCTCGGCTGTTGGTTTGATTTTGCATTCTATGGGGTGAGATGCAGTGCATTAGTTTTTAACATTTAGAGGTGAAATTGGAATCCATGCCCCAGTCCACATAGAATTAATATCAAGCTGAAAAGATAAAAATAATAGGAAAATTATGTGTTCCTTCTCTTGCTTTTGGAAGTAAGCAGAAGAAAGCTTTCAGAGCATCATTAGTTTAAAAAATAAACCTATTAAGTGCTTAGTAAGGGAAAATGAAGCATGAGGCCTTAACCTTAAGTTTATTATTTAGTTGATGACTCAGCATTAAGCATGTCTTAATGAAATGGCTTATACACTTAAAAAAATAACTGAGTAAATGAATGACTCAGTGAACCTGAGGGCTGCACCATGCAGTGCTAAAGAGAAGGACATCAGGGGATCTGATGAAAGAGCAGCCACTGTGGGTAAAGTAGTTGAAACCGTAGAGAGGAGGTGAGTCTGGGCTATTTAAGAGGAGAAGTTTCAGACAATTTGTGGTGAAGACAGCGTATGATCTGAAGTGGCTGTAGGGTTATTTGATTTTCCAAAATCTCACTTTCTAAAAGGAGGCCTCCTTTATAAATAGGGGAGAGGAAGATGGGTTGAAGGAAGAGAGGGGGAAAAGAGAGGAATCAAAATATATCATGTACAGGTACAAATTCCCCATGATGCATATGATCATTATGTGTGTCTAAAATGCACAATAAACTTAATAAAAGAATAAAAAGAGGTCTCTTCCAACCATTTATTCAAAAAAAATCTTCACCCCCATCATTCTTGATAACCTTACCCTGCTTTATTTCCTACCCAACATTTATCATGACCTCAATTTTATTTTTTAAATATATTTTGCTACTTATTTGTTTCCCTGTTTAGTTCCTGTATCTTTTACAAAAATATAAGCTCCATAAGGCTAGGGGCATTTTATCTGTCTTGGTTAGCACTTTATCCCCTATGTCTAGAACTGAGATATCTAATACAGTAGCCATTTGGCTATTTAAATTAGAATTAAGTAAAATAAAATAAAAAGTAATTTCCTCAGTCATTTCAGCTCTATCTCAAGTGCCAATAGCCACATGTGGCTGGTGGCAACCATACTGGAAAGTGTGTCAGTCAGCTTTCCGTCACGATGAAAAAAATTTCTGCACAAGGTCGTGAGTATGATTCCCGGTACCAGAAAAAAATTCCTGAGCCAACCAGCTCAAAGGAAAGAACATTTCCACCACAGCAGGATGCTATCTTAGGCAGCAATGACTTAGAATAATGACTAGTACATAGGACATGCTCAACAAATATTAAATGAATGAATGTTAAGTAAATGAAAAATGTTAAGTAAATAAATCTACCTTTTTAAACTTCCTGTTTTCTGTAATATGATGAAAACAACAAATATTGTGAGGATTAATGAAGTAATGAGAAATGCTTCACACACAAATAATGACATTGCTGTGATTTTTGTTATGTTTTTATTATTTTTAAATTTTTATTATTGTAATTCAAGCTTCCCTGGGTTTCATGAATCTATGCAAACAAATGTGACTGTAAATAGAGAGGACTCAGATTTCACTGACTTTTGCCCTGGCCCACACAACACAAACGGCTTTCTTGAGACCCTTCCTTGACAATGGCCACCTGGAGACCCCTTATAGGCCACTGCTACCAGTGACTAACTTGGCATTGACGATAATCAGGCCATCAGTGTATATCCAAAAGTATTCAAATTTGCAATTTGAAAAAAATCTGGAGGTCAGAATCCAAACAACATCAAAGTGTTTATGGCCCCCCAGAAGCCTTCGATTGATTAGCTAGTGTTCATGTAGGCCCATACCAACTCATAGTGTTCTCTTTCCCAGGTTTGCCTCGTGAGTAGCTCCTTGCCCTGTGAAATTCCACAGGAGCACCTTTGTCAGTTTGCAGCTGCAGCTACTCCCACCAATACTTTGGCCAGATGAAAGGTCACTAGACCGAGTCCTTCCATTACTGGAGGTTAATGTCCTTACTGACCATCACTCCCCAGTACACGAGAGACAATTTTTGGTGGAAAGAGTTTATTCAAAGCTAGTTCTGAAGGAGACGAAGAGGCCTTTGTCTTAAATCTCTGTCTTCCTGTGTTCGTGTGTGCAAGGGCTTGTATTGTGAGGACAGTGAAGAGGAATACAAGAAAATAGTCCAGGAAATTCCCACGCTGCTTCATCCTGGCCAATGCAAAGGCAAAAGCAGAACAAAACAAAAAACGGGACAAAGTCAATAAATATACCTTTCCAAAACCTCAGTCTCCTTAGGCCAACATCCACATTTTCTTTTCAAATGGATACACTACTTGCCTGACTATCCATCTGACCTGAGGCGGGGATGGAGTGACCATTTCGGCTCTCAGCACAGCGAAGTTGGAGAAGCCGCCTATCTCTTAGAAGTAAATCTTAATTTTTAAAGCTCCATCTCAACCTCGTGGTTACACTTCATGCCCACTTCTTGCCATCACACAAGATTCCTTGGCCTTTGCTTTTACTGTACAAATTATTTACAAGAGTAAGTATTTTCAGGCTAAGACACAATCCGTTCGTTAGGCACAGCCCAGCCAATGGGCTTCAGTAATAGCTCATCTCCACCTCAGCAAGGCCTTTATCTTACCAGTGAATAGCTTAGGGTACAAAATGGAGAGCTGCTGATTCATTTCTTCAAACCTTCACCTTGGATTCCCCTGCCGAGTGTGCAGGCTGGCGAGGCTGAAGAAAGTTGAGCTGAATGTCCTTGCTGTGACTGCCTGAAGGTGAGGAGGTGGCCTGGGCCTGGGGTCCAGTTCTCCACTTGCCACAGGACCTGACTCTTTGACCTGGTCTTTTCTGCCCAACTCTGCTTCCTTCAGGCTGGAGAGCTGCATTGGATTTGTCTTGGTTACTTTTCTCTCCTTGCTGAGACAACATACCTGACGGCCAGAATTAAGGAAGGAAAGGTTTATTTAGTTCACAGTTTGTGGAGCTTTCAGTTCATACTTGGCTGGCTCCAAGGCAGAGTGGCACATGGCAAAGGGCAACTGTTCATGGCGGTGGAAGACAGCAAAGCAGCAAAAGCAAGATGGAGGAGAGCAGGTGAGCAGCCTCTTTCTCTCCCTTACATATGCAAACTATCCACCCCAGGGTGGGTGTAGCACTCACACCCATGATCCCAGCATTGGACCATGGCCATTTCTGTGTGGCTTCTGGTGGGGAGCCCTGTGGCTGCATCACAGTTTGGTAGAGAAACAGCAGGGAAGGTGATCTGTGCTGACGGGGCTGATGGACCAAGTAGCCTCCATTTATAAAAACCACCTCTTGCAATAGCTAACCAGGGTCTCTCAAAAACTACACTCATCTTTCTGTTTTGTTTTGTTTTTTGTTTTTTTTTACATTCATCTTGTTAGGGCACACTTATAGAATAGCAGACTTTTTTTTTTTCCTCCGGTACCGGAAACCGAACTCACGACCTTGCGCTTGCCAGGCAGGTGCTTTGCCGCTGAGCTAAATCCCCAGCCCCAGAATAGCAGACTTGTAGGCACATTATAATAAAAGTTAGAAATCAGTTCGTAGCCTGTGATCATGCTCATGCTGCCTGTCACGTAGTGAACCTTGACTGTCTAGGTCCAATGTTCCCCCTTAACAATGTATGGGTCAAAATGACTGTGTCCAGCTTTTGTTTTAGAAATATGCAGTGATTCCAACTTGCTTCACCGGCTTCAAGGCCGTCATGTGTGGGGGAGACTGGCCCAGTCAAGGACACTTTCCACTCTACCTACTCTTCTCAGACCTCCTCCCTCCCAGAATGTTGCTGTATAAACCTGCCTGACAGTACGTGACATAATTCTTGTATTCCATGTAACTAATCATGTAGTAAGCTGCTATCAGCTTTGTACTTTCCACTCGCAAACCATATTTAAACTGAACTCAATCCTGACTTTGGGCTGGTGATTTGAACCTCCGGGTTCCCCAGCCCGCTAATGTAATAAAAGTTGCTTTCTAACTCCTTGGTGCAAAGAGTCTTCCACTTGGATCGAGATTCGATTTTCTGCTACAATCTCTTTCAAGGGTGATGTCCCCAGGGCCCTAACTACCTCTCACTGGGTCCCATTTCTACAAGGTCCCACCAACAGTACCACACTGAGGATGAAGCTGCCGGCACATGAGCCTGTGTGGCGCAAGCCATATTCAAACCAAAGCACCCCTCCCTTACTGCACAGTCAGTCCCAGATCCCCCCATAGAGGTCTGAAACCACAGAATAACGAACCCTACATATGCTATGTTTTTTTTTCTATACATGCATATCTGAGATCAAGTTTAACTTATAAATTAGGCAGAATAAGATTAACAATAATAAAATAGAACAAGTATAAAAATATACTTTAATAAAAGTTACTTAAAACTTACACATTTTTTATTTCTTGAACTTTCTATTTGATATTTTCAGACTGTGCCAGACCCTGGGCAACTGAAACCATGGAAAGCAAACCCATGGACTTGGGGGGCACAACTGATGTATTTCTTAAATTACATCACAGGCTTGCAAGACTGAAACTTACACCCACTAAACAGTAACTGTCTGTTTCCCCATTCCCCTAGTTTTATGCCTATTTTATGCCACACTCTTGATTAGCTTTATAGAAGGGTTAAAATCAGATGTAGGTGTAATTTTTTCCTCCAATATCTTTACATTTCTTTAAATACTATTGGATTTTGTTCTGAGGTTCAGTTAATTACTTGGAATCAGGCTGGTCCTTTTCGGCTTGCTTTTAATCTTTTTTAGGGTGATTCCATAGAAGTCTTTAGGATTAATTTAGCCCCACTAGGGCAACATATTTCTGAGGATTTTGCTGAGCTTCTGTGTAGTAGGAGTTCTTCCAGATGGCTGGGGGGAGCACAAATCTTCTTGCCCTTGTATGAACTCCCTGGATTGTTTGACCAGCTCCTTTCCGGGATCACCCTGTGGGCGGTTCCTCTCCCGTGGGCACAGATCGATACTCAGCTGAAGGACGGAGGAGCATCTTCCACAGAACCCTGGAGCCCTCTCCTCTGGCCCTCCTCCTTCTGCTTGGTCCTGCAAGTTCTAGTCATTTGGCTTTTGCACCTGCTACTCCACCTCGGCCCAAAGCAGATGTTCTCTGAAAACATCTTAATATTTAAAGCCATTACCCATTTGTTTATTAATCATGTTTTCAATAGTTTCTATTAAAACTAGCTGAAACAAGCAACTTTATCTTTCTGTCCATTTGTATTTCTGTACCACAGATGTCTAGAATTAGAGTTGTTAAGTCAAAAGGCACACACATTTCAAATATTAAGTGTGGGAGGTCTGAATTTTCCCCCAATTTTAAGCCAACAAATTAACTTGCCATTGCAGGTGCTGACAGAAAGACATGAGGTTAAAGACTTTATGACCCAAAGTACAAGCAATAGCTACAAGGTTGATATATTTACAAGGGTTTTTTTAAAAAAAAAAATTAGGGTGTTACATTGGTCAGGTTGGCCTTGCACTCCTGGCCTCAAGCAATCTTCCTGACTCAGCTTCCTGAGTTGCTGGGGTTACAGGCCTGCACCACAACATCTGGCTTTTTATAAGGGCTCTTGGAGTCCCAATTCCTACAGGGTTACATGGAGGGGCCATTGACCCCTCATCTGCAATGCATAAAGGCCCAGAACTTTGTGAGTGTATGTGCTTGAGTGTGTGTGTGTGTGTGTGTGTGAGAGAGGGAGAGAGAGACAGAGACAGAGACAGAGACAGAGAGAGAGAGGGAGGGAGAGGGAGAGGGAGAAGGAGAGAGACAGAGGCAGAGACAGAGAGAGATAGGATCTGAAAGACTGGCCTCAAAATTCTGTGCTCAAGTGACCTTCCTGCCTCAGCCTCCTGAGCAGCTGGGACTATGGGTGTGTGCCACCACTCCTGATGCAGGCTCAGAACTATTTTATCAAACAGAAAACTTTGTAGTGGGTAGCAAATCATAGTTTTCATTCTGGGGGGTCCTTGACCTATTTCACTGCCCTTAGGTGTAGTTACAGAAGCAGCTCAGTTGGAGATGGAAGCCCTTGGCCAGAACACGCAGGGAAGCTGGGGGTGGTGGTGAGTGCCCTCCAAACAAGACTGTGACACTTCCTCCGGAGACGCCATGCAAATTTAAACCAGCCTTTGATTGTGTAGAAAGAGTTGTACTGAAGACTGTGTTGCAGATTAGGGAATATTATAAACCCACGTGATTGGCCAGTCTGGTGGGTGCAAGATGACTTGTGCTGTTCTGTTATTTTCGTCTAAGTGAGGTTATCTTTTCAAATGTGAAAGTTTCATTTGTGAAACTGTTCTCTAAAACTCTCCCTCTCCCTCAGAGGTTTCTCTGTTCCTAGTCCTGGCTCTGGAGCAATGAAGGAAGGGCACCACTCACGTTCAGGCTGTTTGCCTCAGAGTCCGGCCCGAGCCCTTGTTACCACCCTGCAGGGGCGGACTGTGACACTGTCCGTCTGCTGTGCGCTGGAGGCTCTTGTCATGCAGGGCTGTGATCCCGTCTCCTCTCTTCCTGGCTCCAAAAGGGCCAGGTGTCAGGGCAGGAGGGCATTCCTGGAAGTAGAAAGGAGGAACAGGGCAAAGGAGGAGGGAGGAGGAGGGCGGAGCGGGAGGAAGAAAAGGAAGGGAGAAGGAAGAGGGGGAAGGGAAGGAAGGAGGAGGAGAGGAAAGGGGAGGGACGAAGGAGGGGAAGGAGGGCGGAGGGAGAGGGAGAAAAGGGGAGGAGAAACCAGAGTGGGGGAAGAGGATGGAAGAGAGAGAAGCGGGAGGGACAGCTCACAGCCTCCACAGCTCAGCACGCAAGCCCGCAAGTCCTTCCACTTCTCAGAGCACCGCGTAGGCGGCTCCGGGGTCCTCCGGCCGCAAGCCCTCGAGGCCGCCGCCGCCGCAGGGCCCTTCCGCGGAGAGGAGCCGAGCTGGCGCGCTGCACAGTGCTCGCGTCGGGAGCGCACAACTCGGGTACTTCTGAGAGGTGGCTCCCCAGTCAACCCCGCGGGGCCCTCCGGGGACGCGGCCTTTTTATTTATTTTTTTTATTTTAAAAAATAAAAGAAAACGTATTAACAGACATCCATTTACAAAATAGCAGAAGAACAATACAAGCAAAACAGAGTTGCAGACAAAGTTGTAGGAAATTAACCATGGCTGTATTACTTATTGTTATCTTCAAAGTGGTGTCTCAGGAAAACAAATAGAGACATACAAGATTGATCAAACAAGTAATCATTCCTTTTGACCAACAAGTAATCTGTTCCTTTCTGTAGAGCAATAGAAGACAGTACAACTACGTTAGCTATCCTGTATATACATACTTACATAATTTCCCCTTCTGTCTCTTCTCTTTTCCCACACCCCCGTTGCGCTTTACTTTTGAGTATTTTCCTTTCGTTTCACAATGTTTGTCACACCTCCTAGATTTTATTCAGTCTTTAGGGTCTTACACTACTGAGACGATATGATGCTTACACATGAAGGTCTGATTTGTTTCGCTTATGAGTATGGTCTCTAGTTGTGACTATTTACCTTTAACGGCCTCGAGTTTATCTTTCTTTATAGCTGAGTAATACTCCATTATATAATAGTACCACTATTTTTTTCTTATCCAATTCTCGGTGGATGGACATTTGGGTTGTTTCCACAATTTAGCAATTACAAA